GGCCAGATCGAAAGATTCTTGCAGGACAAAAAAGTCGCAGAATATGCCCGGCTTAACAGTAACGTCTTCAGCTACAGAGATGTAAAATTTCAACAGCTGGCTGCTGTAAGATAGCCTCATGAGACCATCCTGATCTCGCAAGCTTTCAAAGTTTCACTCGCAGATCAGTCTGAAAACTCTCCGTTAAAGAAAATGTGGAGCCGTTCACCAAACGAACGTCCAATCAGCGTTGGCTTTGAGGCGGGTTGAGGTGTGACGCAACGAGAAGCGCGACAGTTCAGTCTAAAGAACATGGCGGCTTCAGCCGATGAAACTAGCGTTAGCGTGGCTATCGAGCAAGTTTTATCGGAATTACAGAGTATTTCTTCACTGAAAGAAGAGCAAAACACTGCTCTGGAGGCTTTTCTCAGAGGAAAAGATGTTTTTGCTCTTCTCCCGACTGGTTTCAGCAAGAGTAGCCTGGCTTGTGGTTGTGTTTTCGTCGTCGCTCTGTTAGTACGTCATATGCTTCGTTGATCTGATTGGTTTATTTGGCCCGTCTATCACCAACATAGGCCAATCAGCTAACCAGTATTTTGCCCCTTCCCAAAATTACTTCAACGGAAGGTTTCCAGATGGATATGCGGAGCAAATCCATCTGGCAGAGTCACGTTAGCTGTAAGAACTTTTCCTTATAAAATATGTTTCTAATCCCCATCTTTAGTTATGATCTGATTTGTTTTAGACCGTTTCCTCTGACTCTGTTAAGGCCGCCTTTAAAATTAGGCTCCATCAGCTCCTGTCCAGACTAGGGGTGGAACGGTTCACAAAATCCACAGTTCGGTTCAGTTCACAGTTTCGTTGTCACAGTTTTCGGTTTGGTTCGGTATATATTGATTGTTATCCCGAAATCCCCAAAAAATTAATGAATTGTAATTATTTTTAATGATCCGCGGAAACCCTGGATCATTTCCGCATGTTTTGCTGCTCTGAATGTAATCATCTGGCGCATGCTCTCTACCATCTCCAAGGAAGTCAGAGGGGAGCGGACGGGAGCCACAGTGGAGGCTGTAGGCTTTGCTTTTTGCAGGCGGTCTGGAGCGCAGCGGGCCGGAGCGCTGACGGAGTATGTGGGATTTCGGGGTTAGCATGACATGTTGGTCATGTTGCTGTTAGCATAAACAAAACGTGTTGCACAATGCTTGCACACTGTTGCACTTTTATCCACCACTTTCTTTCCACCGTCATCGTAGGTAACTCTAAATGCAAAGTGGTCCCATACAGCAGACCTATAAAGTGCTGCTGGCGCGTCTTCCAACTCCTGTTCTTTCCCACTCGCCATACCCACACAATTCTCCACAACAACTGATTTTTTTCTGCTACACCCGGCTACGCTGCTTTGCTTCTTCTTCTTCTTGTTTACTACTGGTGGTTGGCTTTGGTCGCAGTACCGCCACCTTCTGCTCTGGAGTGTAAACGCTTTGCCTATGAGAAAAAGGAGCAGCGCATGAACCGAACGTAACACACGCGAACCAAACCGAAACAGTCGAACCAACCGGTTCAGACGGTTTTCATAAACCGTTCCATCCCTAGTCCAGACTGAAATGCCATGGACGCTGGTTTGCCATAATAATAATGAACTATTTTTTACCAGTATTTTTTTATTCAACATATTGTAAAAAGAACTTTTAGACTTATCATCTATTATTTGTCTTCACAAGCTTTATTACCGGAGCCACAAAAATACTTCAACGGGTTTGGAAACTAATTATAAATATTACATGCATGTACAAAAAGACACTGAGATAAAAAATATGCATAAGAGTTTGTTACAAGTAGTAAAAAGGAAAAGCTTTTTTATAGGTTATTTATTTAAACAGCGCCTCTCTGTTTCTCAACCCACAGAGACAATAACTGTCTGCTTCTATGATTGATTTTAATATCAAAGACAGATCTGAATGTGCTTTTTTTCCTGTTTGGTTTGATATCAGATGACGGACGACAGCCGTATGTAGGAGCGCGACTTCATCATCTGCATGTGTCACAGAACGCGTGTTCAGTCAGCAGGCTAATAAAGTGTTGAGCCAGCTGGCAGGATTTGACACACAGCCTCCCTGTGCAAACCGATGCAAAACAGAGCAGGACTGATGCACCTCTATCTGATGGCGACGGTTCATGCATCCAGGAAGAACAGCGTGGAGGTGAAGAGATAGGTTCATTCAAATGGGGTCAGAGAGAGAAGCCGGCAGAGAAGGAACAACGATCAGCTGCGGCGCTGCAGCGTCTCTTTTAAAGTAATCAGCTGAAATAAGCTCGAAGCGACAAATAACTGGAGGACTGGGGAGTGTTTCAACATCAGAAGGAAACGCAGAAAGTTCAAACCCTCACCACAGTCCCCAGCTGGGTCTGATGATATACTTCTGGGCAAATTTTCTCATTTAAATTCATCTATTTCCTTTCTGCACGTTTCTGTCGCTGTTTTCATGGAGTCCATGCATGCCTCCAGGATCTGGATGCGTTCGTATCTCCAATGCACAACCAAAGAACACCTGATTGTCACAATTCACCAAAACAAACACCCTGACTTCATGCCATCTGTTGGTGGCTTTTAACCGTTCCTGGGTTCACTTCCTGTCTGCTAAACCAAACAACCGGCTGGTTTCTGGTCTTCAGCGCTGTGCTAGCCAGCGTCATGCTACAAACACCTGTTTGTTTTATAGGAGCTCCAACAAAAGTAGGAGGAAATTCAAGAAAATCTAAATTTTAATTTTATCCAGTTAATCTGGCATCCTTTACTCGGTTACGTCTAAATAAAATCCAAGACAACCGAGTTCTTTCAGGCCTCATGGACGAGTGCACCTGTGTGAAGTTAAAGGAATAGTACACCCAAAACATGATTAGCCTTCATTTTCTACTCACCCCCATGCTGAACAACACTCTGGAGTACTTTTTTGATATCTCAAATGCATCTGGAGATCTGGGAGGCTTCTTGCTGTCTGCTGACATTCAAATAATGGAGGTCTATGGCGCCCGAGGCAGAAAGGTCCATAAAAGTCCACAAAAAACGTGTCAATATTCCTCCATACTGCTCGTCCAATGTATTCCAAGTGTCCTGAGTGGGCAGCGTCCAGAATTTACTCGAAACAAAGTGATTTAGAATGTTTTTAGAGCATAAACAGTGGTGTATAGGATTTCCTAAAAGCGCGCGCCTGCGAGTTCACGACTCTACGGAAACCGCGGCAGACCAAACCAGATGAAAGTGCGCATTCAGCGTCTGCTCTGCCGATAATGCAAGCGTAGAAGAAGAAATGTGCTGTTTACCTGTGCAAAGAAAGAAACAACGAAAGAAAAATGTCTGAGGAGTTCAGTGTTGAGGAAGAGCATGAGTTCTTTGCCGAGCTGAATGCGCACTTTCGTCTGGTTTGGTCTGCCGCGGTTTCCGTAGACTCGTGAACTCACAGGCGCGCGCTTTTAGAGCTTGTCTATAAACCAAACTGAACAATTGTTGTTCTCTACTTCAAAAAACACTTTAGATTTTAAAATGTAAAAAAAATGTTTCAATTTTTCATATTTCTTTTATTTAAAAATTCAATATATAACATAGATGCCTAAAAACATCCTTTTATTTCAGTGTTAAATTCTGTTTAAAGTAACGGATTATAATTAAAAACGTCTCTGGACCTTTACTTGTAACCGGCTCTGTACTCGGGGCTTAGCGTTGTGTTTCTCAACTTTTTCGCCGAAAGCGGAGCTGTGGAGACCCGCTTCGCCATTTTTTCGATATTTTGATAGGGGGAGTGGAAATGACGGAGCGGGAGGGGTTGTGTCGCTTAGATTTGCGTCCCCCGGTGTGCATTTCCCCCCACGACGTATGTTCTTCTCCCACACAAAAACAGAATTTCATTTCAAATGTAGAAATTCCGTGTTTACGCTAGATTCCGCGTCAATTTGCCAATTCTGCGATTCCGTGATAGCAGAAATTATAGGGCCCTACTGGTTGATGATTATCCTATAGAGGACGATCTTTTATTTCCGGGTGGATCACCTGAATAAGTGGTCCTCCTAATTGTCAATCATTTGTGGCGATATGTTTGCGTAAGGCCGTCCCTTCGTGTTCGTCCCGTTAGCTATCTTTTTCTGCACATGAGCACATTCAGGCGTAGTTTGGTGTAGAAGGCTTCCAGCCGTACATGTTTGAGCCCTTGCCTCCCAACACTGCCAGTTCTGTTAAGTTGGTCGTACAATGTGCGACCATCATGCTGCACAGACATCGTGAGCTGCGAGCAACAATTGGAAAAAAAAAAACAGTACAGTGTATCCCCGGCATTAGCTCTACGCCTGCCGAAGACACAGACGTCCATCCCCGTGAACACTGGGTCGGAACTCAATGGGAAAGGAAAGGATTCTGATTTCAACCGTTGCGTATATTAGCTGCGTCATATGAATCAAGATGCTATGACCGAAAATATTTGATTGACAGATGACCGTTGATATATGATTGGCCGAATTTAGGTGTTCAGGCTGACGTAGAACTAACTGACCTGAATAGAATAATAGAAGGAAAAAAAAACAGATTTTAAGACAGAATTTGTTTTTAAATAGAGATTCTCTAAATTTTGGGAAAACGTTGTCTGATAAAGAGAACGTTTATACATGTTGAAGCCAGAATGATTTGATATTTAAATAGGATTTTCCTACGACTTTAAAGAGGCAGGGAATAAACAAATATGGGAACAATCTGCTTCTTTTCTTCTTTTAAATAAAATTAATTAAGAAAATTTGAACAAATGAAATTTAAAGTGGTTTAAAATCTGTTCATTGTAGGAAAACAAGAGTCTAAATGTTTACTTTGCTATTTTTTTTTTCCAAAGTAGTAGTGTGTGGGGGAGTAAAGGCAGGTTGAAACAGGAGACATTCCCAAACAGCCTCTTCAGTTTGATGAAAACACTTCTAGTCACTGAGGATCTATTCTCTCTTTGCTTCATGCTTTAAAAACCAGAAAGATGCGGTTTCTCTCTCACCTGTGCCGAGGCTCAGAGGACACCGAGTTACAGCTCTGGACCGACAGCAGCGTGGAGGACTTCCGCGGTCCCAGCGGGGACGGAAGCAGGCTGGCGTTGGACGGGGAGGCGGACAGCAGGTTACCGTCCCCCGGTGAGGGGAACGAGCCCCGGCGGCATCCCAGCAGCACCTCCGCGCTCCCCACATCACTGAACCCGGCGTCGGATGGAAGGACCAGGATCGGCGGCACCGGGAGCCCCGTCTTCGGTGTAGCGATGCCACAGCCCGCAGAGAGGCTGTTAAATGTCCCGCAGCTGATGGTGTAAGCGGGGTCCGCCGCCGCTGCGGAGCCGGGCTTCGCTGCATCAAACTCGGCTTCATTTTCGTGGCTTCTTCCATCCTCCGCCGGGTCGCTCCGAACCGGCCGCCCGTCGAGGGAGATGTTAGTCAGGAACAAAAGAGCGGCTTGTCTTCGGCGGGAGTTCTCCCGGTTCTTTCTGTTGTATTCCCGGTAACTGAGCGTCTTTTTGCCGCTGGCCGCGGCTGGTAGGACCGCGCCGTGCTGTCCGAAGGCAGCGGCCGCCATGGCTCCACCGGCGCCGCTGAGGAGGCGAAGTGAGCGGATCGACTCAAGGCTCGCGACTGTCAAATCCCTTTTACCCGGCGCTACAGCGCTCCATGCCTTCCTGCGCGCTGATTGGTCAATATGAAAATACGTAATGACGTATGAAAGCGGTACACGCTGTAAACATTGCTAGGTAAATAAAGAGCTCAGCATGGAATAAAACCCAAAAAACAATCATTTTCCATTTGGAAAATAAGAAATTATATCATAACATTTTTTAACCAAAAAAACTAAAAATTCTAATACATAATAATAATTTGTTTTTTTAAGCAAATCGATTTATAACAACAAACATATCTAAATAAAGCTGAAATAAAGTTTCAAAGTTAGCGCACAGCATCAGTGAACCCAGCTAAAAAAAAAACACTAATCAGGCTCTAAACCTCTGTGTAGTGATAAAGTCAGACCTGAACCTTCATAAATACAGGAACAAAGTCATCCTTCTGTCACCCAATGAACATCTCCAGGATTAAAGGACTAATGCCTCTCCAGTACCTTGATAAACTAATTCATGTGTTCATCTGTAGAAGAAAGGATCACTGCAGTGGTGCCTCTACAGGTCTGCCTAAAGAGTGGATCAAACAGCCACGGTCTTCTGGATCAAATCTACGTACGTCAAGAACCAAAATTATAGATAAAGAAAATTATTTTAGTTCTTATGCTTCACTAATCTGGAACAAACTTAACTGAGTGCCGAAACCTGAAGCTGCCTTAAATAAAAAAGCATTTGTTTTGAGTGGCCTTTAACTGAGCTATCGAAACATCATTAGCTCAGTTGTAGTCTAATATTCTTTCATCTGTATTAATCAAGCTATAACTCTTTTTATAATTTACTTATAATCTACTTCTCTCTTTGTGTTTTCCTATTATGTACGACACTTTGAATTGTCTTGCTGTTATAATGATCTATAAGTGGCCTTGCTGCTAACTGAAAAAAGCATATATAGATTTAAGATTTTAAACAACTCAGTTAAAAATTCAGAGAAAAATAAAAAATAAGTAAATTTTGATAAACATTTTTGTGACAAATCTTTGTGTTTTTATCTTTCATAAGTGAGTCTTTAGTGACTGGCTTTCTTTCAACTAACACTGGTTCTCACTGCTTTTTTTATTAAATAAATGTCTTTTTTGCTAATATATCTCCCTGTTAATATTAAAATTATTATATAAATATGTATTTATTCTTTAACAATGTTATACTTTGTTGGACGTTTGTGCGTTCAGAGGTCTCCCCTCTGAAGTTTCAGCACTGCGGTGGTTCATTCTCAGCAGATGATGCAGTTCTGTATGACAGCAGCTCTGATTGGTTGTTGCCCCTTTGTTAAGAAAGCTCGGTGGATTCCCGCTCGGTGGATTCCCGCTGCACTGATCCCCTGCAGTGACACAGTCCTGGCCTGTAGTGAATCTCGCTGCTCTAGCAGGACAGTCACACTGTTGAGTTTACTAGCAGACTGCTAAATATATCCTGCAGGGTATCACACACTGTAATCTCTGCAGGCGGGGAGGGTGTGTGTGTCGTCACCTATTGATCCTCTACATCTGTAATGCGTCAGTCAGGCGAATCGGCGCCACCCGGCTAATCTGAAACAACCACAGCATGGAGATCCACCTAATTCAGATTGATATCGTGGGAATAAACTAGAAGCAGAAGTTTTCTTTCTTGTTTAATAGCTTTTTTCAAAATAACAGCTAGGTCTGTGTGGAACCATATCGGTGCATACAAAAAAAAAAGATGACCATAATTAGTTTCTCTCCATACTTCTGAGCCTTTTTTTAAAAGCAAAATTGGCTAAAATGTAGGTTATGTAACACTTTCAGAAAAAAAACACAAATTATTGCAGCTGTTGATGAAAAAAAGTTGTTTTAAAGCATATTTGGTGAGCTGGCCATCCATGAAGATGTTTACCTCAAAGGTATAAAGCTTCTAGTTAGAGTGGCTCAGGTTATCCTGAGCTATCTCTATAGTTCTGCTGCTATAGGCTTAGACTGCTGGAGGACATAGGGACCCCTTTTTCATCATTCTGCTTCATTCTATCTCTATTCTCCCACTCTGCAGAATCTGTTAGTTCAATCTCTAACGTTCTGCTCTCTCTGCTTTTTCCTCATAGTAGCTTCATCTGGTCTGTTCCTGTTTGGCTGTGACTCCATCCTGGAGAGAAATATCAGCTGTGCTGCTGCCATCAACACCTTTGTTTCTAGATGTTGGAGCTTGGCCTGTTTTCCAGTGTAGTCCTGTTTCTCTAATTGTGACTGGTTGGATGTGCTCTCTTCATCCTCTGACATGGGAGCTGGCTCGGAGCTCGTCTGCCTGGCTTTGTGTTTCCTGGACGGGGCCGCCTGTGGAGCTGGTTGACAGTTGCCTTTTGTATCTATGCTTCTTTTTCTATGTCTGCTTCTGTCTCCTTGAACCCCAGTGGGCCTCAGCAGATGGCCGCTCACACTGAGCCTGGTCCTACTGGAGGTTTCTTCCTGTTAAAAGGGAGTTTTTCCTCTCCACTGTCGCTACAAACATGCTTAGTGTGAGGGATTGCTGAAGAGTCAATGAGTCGATGCAATCAGCTGGTTTCCTTTAGATATAAAACTTTCAATCTAACTGGATGATCTGGTTAACTGTAAAGTGTTGAGATGACATGTGTTGTGAATTGGCGCTATAGAAATAAACTGAATTGAACTGAAATTAAAGGGGCATAGTCCCATTATGTGCCTACACAGAAAAGACCAAAAACCATTTGATCCAGATAAAACATGACATGGTTTCGGATCAAGACTCTGGCTCAGCGGCAATACGTACGACGGGAGAACAGAGTTTACTTGAAGGGTTTTATTGTTCAGACTGGAATCAGAGTAAGAGGATCTTGAAAGGAAGCCTTTTAGGGAGGAGTGCAAAGCGCCGTTGAGGGAGGAACAGGAGCCAGCCTTCAGCAGGAGAAAAAAACTAAAACGGAATCAGAGACACGACTGGTAAGTAAGATGATTAGAACAAGTTCAACTAACTTGGAAGTCTTTGATGAGGGACCCAGTTACCACTGGTATAGGTAACCATCTGTCGTCTTCCTCAGTGAATCCACTCCTCTAAATACTGCTTCCTTGATTGTGGCTGATGAGTGCCAGCTGGGAGCTTCACCTGCCTGGCACACGCTGAAAATGAAGGTGAGAAAACAGAAACAAAAAACTCCAAACCAAAGAAACTCTGTGGACACAACAAACAAGGTTATTTGACCAAGTTTCAGCATTGATAGATATCTTTTAGCCTAAATAGAAGTCCAGCAGTGGGCTTGATCAGCAGACATAATCAGACAAGGCGCCATCTTCTGGCAAAATTGTAGAACTAAGTTCCTCACCAGCAAAGCAACAGCTCTGCGTGGTTCACGATGAACTGATATTAATTATAAAAACTCATCTACAGCAAGTCTAAGTTTTAATAAAACCTCCCTGAGCCTCAAGTCAGAACATCAAGGATAAAGATAATTTAATCTATTTAAAACATCTTTAAAGTCATACAGTAGAGCCTCAGAATAGCATTGCTATCTCTGGTATCAGGATCAATAAGGATGTTTATTCAAACACTCATCAACTTGTCAGCAGCTCCTGCAGCTTTAGCTTCCTCACCACTGGACTCCAACAGTCATACTGTATTTCCAGCACTCGTTTCATCTAATCCATTTTGGAATCAAATATTTAGGTTTTTTTATTTGCTTTTCTTTAGATTGGATCTTTGGCTTTTCTTTATTGTTTTCACTCTTAAAAGGGCAGAAAAAAGAAAGAAAAAAACAAAGCAAACGCTCAGTTCAGGTGTTTTATAAAATATGTGAATCAGGAAATTGTCTATATACCAAACTGAACGACTGTTCTCTACTTCAAAAAAAATTTCAGATTTTTTTATAGATTTTTTTTTTATTTGAAAAGTCAATGTATAACATAGATGCATTAAAAACTGCTTTTTATTCCAGTGTTAAATTCAGTTTAAAGTAACAGATTATAATTAAAAATGTCTCCGGACCTTTACTGGTTGATGATTTTTAATTGCTTACCCCTGTTATAAACAGAGGGTTTTATTTGCTAGAAGAGCAAAACAAAGCATAAAAATACTAATTTAACAAATAATACAACACGACGTTGCTTTAAACTTTCAGAAAACCTTTGTATGTGACAGGACTGAGCTACTAGCATGTGAAATTTAAAAGTCATATAAGCTGGCAATGCCTCTATAAATATACAGTAGCTTGTAATGGTAATCTGTTTAATCTATTATTTACATAAGGAGATGAAAATCATTGTTTATGTGGCAGTTTTTTTGTTTTTATTTGCTAGCAAAGTAATGAATATCATATTTTTATGGTGGTTTCTTTTTAATATGTATAGACAGGATAAAATATTCATAAACGCATTGGTTAAACCATGTAAAGTGATTTGTAAAATAAACATTCCTTCCTGTGTTCAATGAGCCTAAACTCTATCTCCCACTGACTGGTTCTGTCCCATGTAGTAAAAATGAATAAATAAATACTAAGTTAGCTACATAATGAAAGAATAACTCAACCGTCTGTGATAGAATAATTTCCATGCAGGGATTTCATGATGTTTTATTCAATTTCAGCCCCTACTCCACCATTAGTGAGACCACAGGACCTTCAAAGGAGCCTGAGGCAACACTGCAGATCTGCATGAGATGTTAGTTTATTTAAAAAAATTATAAAAGTCTGAAATGTCCACTAATCAGATCTGGGTTAGACCTCCATTCAACATTTTATGGAATATGGGCAATGAGGGAAGTCTGAATTTTTGGAATTAAAGGAAAAGTCTGGTCAGCAAGGAATCTTATGGAGAGGAGAGGAGAGGAGAGGAGAGGAGAGGAGAGGAGAGGAGAGGAGAGGAGAGGAGAGGAGAGGAGAGGAGAGGAGAGGAGAGGAGAGGAGAGGAGAGGAGAGGAGAGGAGAGGAGAGGATCATGCCATTCTCCTCCTTAAGGTCACTAGCTTTGCCGATCGTGAATCCTTGATTCCAGCTGTGAAATTTGCGTTCAGTGTGAACGTATCA